ATCCATCCATCCATCCATCTATCTATCTATCTATCTATCTATCTATCTATCTATCTATCTATCTATCTATCTATCTATCTATCTATCTATTTCAGGGACTATTTTAAATACAAAAGTTTGAAAGTAGTTTCATTGCGATTAATTATGGTTTTGTAACCTCACCTGGAAATTTACTGTGTGAGATGAGAAATCTGAGAGCCATAGGATTCTGCCTTGCGAGACAGCCTACACTCTCTGAAATCTCTTCTGTTTCATAAGCCTTTACTCCATTTGTTAAAGCTGTACCTAAGAATGCAAAAAAAAAAAAAGAGAGAGAGAGAGATGATAGTTAACTCTAGACCAATATAACCTGCTTCCTCAGCTGTGTGAATATGCTCAGTTCTCTTCTATGTGGTTTTATTTATTTAAAGTTAGGAGTAAATTTTAACTTTCCTCTGAATCCTGGGATAACTACAGCAATTTTTGAAAAGTTATTTGAAGAAAACATACTTGTCATCAATACGAATAACGAATAACTTAAACTCATAAATTTAAAATGTTTACTGGCAAACCATGAATTTTTTCATGGATAATTATTCACACCACAAATCTACTCACACTCTGAGATAGCTGTTTTTCATGGCATAGGCCCAAATTTGTAAAGATTAAGAAGGGGGTGAGAGAGAATATATTATTCCACTATGACCCTATTTCTCCAAGTGCCTCTCTATATTCTCTATGAATGGCTTTCCAGCTCAGAGATGTCAACACTATAATTAAATGAGTAAAGTTGTTTTGAGCTGTTTATCTTTTCCAGAAAAGGGTATGTTATAGGTCTGGCAGTTCAGAAATATTCCCAACCCCTTCTTTCCTAGTCCACAACAAACTTTGGCACGCTCCTCATGTACTAAGAAGTCATGCCAGCCACAGAAGGCGGCCCTTGGTCTCATTGTTCCTCTCCCTCTCTGTGGGGTTATTTCTTTGGAAATTATTAGGCCACAGAAGTCTAAAATAGCATTAATTGAAGCAGGTTTTGAAACCAGAACATTTTTTGGGGTGTGTAAAGATCTGTAGTAGCATCAGTTTATCAGACAACTTTCTACCCAGACTCCTCTGTGTGAGGTCCTTCTGCCAAGGAGATTTATCCAGATAGATTTGGAAGTATGGCCTTTGCTTCACATCCTTTTTTTTTTTTTTTTTTCCTCTGTCACTCTCGGTCTCTTTCTCTGTCTTTTTGATGAGTCCCTGATTAAAATCCAATTCGCCTGCTTCCTTGAGCTTTGGGAATATCATTCGCTTAGACATCTGCTTTACACATACTGGTTCAATTTCTTATCAGTCAGCTTCCTATTTTAATTACCTACACTCTGTAGTTAATGAGTCAGGTTTTTAGCAGTGATGGCACTCAAACAAAACAGATTTAGAAATTCTATTTTGGAATGAGGTAGCAAAACTTCACCACCACCCTGGTAGAGAGGAGCATGGTTCTCTGGTATCACCTCCTAACAAAGTGACCTTAAATGCAATGGCAGAATTGATTAGGGCAGTGGTATTCAGCTGTGTAGCTGCATCCCTCTCCACTGCCTGGAGATGTGTATACTGGATAGAAATATCAGGCATGCACTTGAACAATTATTTTTCAGATCAGTGGGGATGTTACTGGGAATGATAGAATGAGACTGATGAAAATTGGCACTGTGTTTAAACTTTGTCATTGGCTTCCAGTCCTACCAAGAATAGTTGTGAAAAATTCAACCATCATTGGGCCTCCCTGGTGGCACAGCGGGTTAAAGCGCGTCACTAAGAAGCTAAAGCCACTTAAGCATGAGTCTGATCCCTGCCCTGGAGGTGACCCACATGGGCTGCAGACCTCTCCTGACCCATCCACTGCTCCTCTCAGCAGTGTACTTCGTTGATCTGCCTGTTCTGCTCCCCACTCTGTCTCTGGTGAAGCCTTTCACCGCCCCAGCACCTCTGGCCTATACTCCAGTTCTGTATGCATAAATAAAAAATCTTTTTAAAAAAATTCATTAAGTGGGAGGTGACCTTATAAGGTGTCCGTTGTACAGAAAAATGCCAGGATCTTTCTTTGCTGGACTATTTTCTCATATGTATTTGCACTCTTTTCTTAAAAAAAAGAAAAAGTGTTGTGCACACAAAGATCACGTTTCTTTCCAGCATAATTCAAGACATGAGAAAATTATTTTTAAAAGATAATGTGACTGTGTTTCTGCAAAACTTACATACCTTCACACCAAATATATAATCAAGATGAAGTGCTCTATAACCACCTCCAACTACTAATGAATGTATAATAACCATTAAAATGAAGTAATTTCTATGCATTCTTCAATTTACCTCCCTATTCAGCTTATTTAAAGTTACAGGGTGCTTTGAGCCACGATTTATAAGTGGGTTCTTACAATATTTTAAATACAATAGAATTATGTTATTTAACCTAACGAGGTGTAGAGGTGATTCCAGATTCAGGTGGGTCAAACACTCTCAGACATCAGGCTCCCTGGCTTTTTTCCTTCCTGCTATCTTCAGCCTGCTGTTTCACGTTCAAGCTCATCTAAAGATGACAAGATGGCAACTTGAGCTACAGGCAGTCATATTTACACAACTGAATCTAAAATTAGAAAGGGGATTTCCCCCGCAGTATTTCAATTATTAAGAGGGTAAATCTTTCCTAGAGTCACCCACCACATACGGCGTTCCCCAAACTTTTTATTGACTGGGGTTGAGTCACATCCCCACCTCCAAAACTGTTTCTAGCCTGGAAGAGTAGAATTTTCATGATTTTCTTTATGCAATACTGACCCCTTGAGGCACGGGAGGAGGAAATGCCCACGGATGGGGCAACCTGTATTGTCTTTCATGACATTTTTGAATTGGGGAAGAATGCAAACACCACCTATTCCCTCTTTCAGAAAAAAAAAAAAGCCTCTACTTCATCTCTTGCATTATATGCCCTTCGTTAATAAACTCTCTGAAACAAGACATGCACTAAATAAATAGTGGCATTAGACACCAATTATCTTGTGAAGATGGCTTCTGTGGGCTTGTCTTACTGTCACTGGATTGAAATTGTGACGCTGTCGTGATCTAGGAGGAGCAAGGAGAATAATTCACAGCTTTGGAGAGCCAAGAATTACAAAGGTTAAGAGGGGAGAGACCAGATCTTCATTCATTAGTTCAACAGAGATTTAATGACTGTCACCAAGTGCCAGGCATCGTACTAGATTGGAGGGCAAGAAACTGTCCCTCACTTCAGAACTCACTGTCAGAAGAGAGAGACACCCTGCGCATTAGTAATCTCAGTGCTCAGCTGTAAAAACCAGCGGGAGACTCTAACTCAGCAGGTTCTTTGAACAGAGATAAGGAGATCAGATTTGATCTTAGAGGTTTACAGAAGATTCATAGAGAAAGTAACATGAAATATGAGACCAGAGGTGAATTTTCCCTGAAGTTTATACAACTCAGGCCTCAGCACCATACACAGCTCACACCATCCACAGTGAATGCTGGAAGTTGTAGCATGTTCTCGAAGAAATCAGAATGTATTTGGGGATGCATGTCACCTAAGCATTTCTGTCACCCTGTCCAAAGAGATCTGAATCTTTCACCTGCCAGTAATTTATTGTTACTTATTTTTCCTTCTGAATATTCTTTCACTATCTATTTTTGAATCATAGATGTTATCTATAATTTTTAGTGTCTCCTCAGACCAAGTATTCTGTTCAGGCTGCGTAAAAACTGTATCTGCTCCTGCTTCAAATCTGAAGCATGGATAGGCATTGGCCTGGTGAAGGCACTAGAATGTTCCTGGTATACCTGAAATTGGTGAAAAAGGGCCTTTATAATCAGGGAACAGCCTGTGAGTCAGGGTTGCTGTAACATGGAAGAGAAATGAGAATGGAGAGGTGACTAGGGGCATTTCATGAGAGAAGAAAATGATGCTGTTAACGTGAGCTGGCTGCAGTTCTCAAACTTAGCTGCTCTTTAACATCAGATGCCCATGTTCTTAATCACAGTTGTCCATGTGGAGAGCTTTAAAAATTCCAATGTCAACCTACACCTCAGCCCAATTCAGTGGTAATGACAGGTGAATGCTGGGCATCAGCATTTTTGAAGTTCCCCAGCAATTCCAACGCCCCTGGGCTCCCCAGCATTCTGGAAATCTTGCTTTATAAGCAAAGGCCAGTGCCTAAAGGCAGCAGAATCACTCAGTCTGTGCTCAGGTGGCCAAAAGAAATGTGTCTTCTTTATATTCAGAAAGGGATGCGAACGTCCTCGTGATTCTCCATTCCCACTGGGCCCATGTGCAGGGCTGTGCACAACCCCAACTTTGCTAAGCCAGGTGTCTCCATTTGTGCTAAGTGGAACAGTCTTGGTAAAACTGGGCATCTTAGACTGGAAGGCTGCCTTTTGGGAGGTCTCCCTCGCCTTCCTCCGTTACTCAGATGGTGGCTCCTAGCCCTGAGGAGAAAGACCGGACACCGAGGCAGGGAGGCAGCAGCAACTGGCCGAGGCTGGGCCCGGGCATGTCACTGAGTGCTCACACCGTGCCCCTCACTCGCTGAGGAGGCCGGCACCCGCCCGGCGTCTGGCGCGCGTGGGAGCTGCTGGCCCAGTGCTACTCTTCTCGTGGGTGTAGCTTATGTCGCCGTGTTGACTGGTTTCCTCCAGGGCAGAGACTGTGTCCTAGGTCTCACTTGCCATCTCCTCAAACCCCAGTGCAGAAAAAAGGTCCAGCAAATATTTGTGGATTGA